GCATCGCATCGGTTGCTACTGCTCTTGGTGTTTTTGTCTCCTTTTTTATGCTGCTGCTGCTGCATCTTCCGCCATGTGGCAGTGCATCCATCTGTGGCTCTGTGGCTCCGTGGGGCTGTGGCTGTGGCCCTCATGGCTTTGCATATTAAATATTCAACGGAGGCACGCGCAGAGCTCAGCTCAACCACGACAAGGCTATAAAGTACCTGGGACTGGAACGACAACGACAACACAACACACGCAGCAGCAGCAGAAGTAGCAGAAGTTGCAACAGCAAAAGCAACAACAATTGTGCCTATCGCAGGCGCCGTAAAAGAATTACGGGCTGGCAACGGACAGGACAGGAGCTCAGGCTGAGGCTGGAGCTGGTGCTGGTCCTGGTCGTGGTCCTCGAGCAGGACTGTACTGTAGATATGACGTGCATCCAATCATTTTAACGCAAATAAACCACAACAGATGGCGATGCGTGTGCCTCTTGTAAGTTGATGCACGAGTAAGCGCGAGAACTGGCACAGTGCGGAGGGGGCTGTGGCAGAGCGAGCCACGGAGTGACAGACAAGCACACCTTGGGCACATGGCTGCCACATGGCAGCTTATCACAGCAGCAAGGGCGCACGACGCCTGGCCGAATGGGCCGCTCCCTCTCGATGTCTGTCCCTGTAAGATGGTCCTGGTTTATGCTCCTCGCAGCCTGCGGTCACTTGTGGCATGCACCCCTCTCCACCTCTCGGTCTTTGTTTGCGCTGCGGTTGTCCGGCGCCGCCTTCCAATTGGAATTTTTGTCGCATTTACCAAAGTGCAGCAGCAGCAGCGACGGCGACGGCAGCGGCAGCTTGTGGCAAGAGAGCTCTTCTGCTGCTGCTGCTTCTGCTGCTGCTTCTGCTGCTGCTTTTGCTGCAGATAAATCTCATGAAATAATTACACGTGTTACAGTAAATGCTGTTAAATTGCCCCATGCCCCTCCTCCTCCTCCAACACACAGGAGCACTCCCGATGCCGGATGCGAAGGCGAAACCCGGGCCATGTAAATGCATTCATGAATGAGTGGACTCTGCGCTCCATCCGTGGGACTGTGGACAGTGGACTGCATAAATGCCGACGAGTACGAACAGGATCTGCGAGTGTTTCAATTTACACACAGACGAGGTGGGGCAGGGGCACGGTAGCCGCAGGACTTATGCCCAATTGGGAAAATTATTTTGTGCCACTGCGGCAAAAAAAGAGAAGCAGGAGAAAAAAACGAAATGCACAAATATGGTCTGCGGGGGCTAGGGCTGGGACTGGGGCTGGGTTCCGTTTCGGGTTCATAATGGAACAGTTCTCTCTCTGTTTTAAATATAAATTGAATATCAACAGCGTGGTGACTGCGGACAGGCGGCGGCTCATTAGCGGTCAGAGGCCGAGGCGAAAGTGCAGCAAAAGTGAGCTGCGAATTGGCTGCAAGAATGAGCTGCTGCCTACATTTGGGGGCATGCATGCGGGACGCGCTGGACCGTGCAATTGTCTGGCAAGTGTTAATTGCCATTTAGACTGCAGCATCAATTTATGCATATTTATTTCGCTGTTGACAGACGGCCACAGCTTCCTCTTCAACCGCAGAATGTTTGCAGTCAATGGATTCGCGCGGGATTCCCACTCCAGTTTCGGGTTCATTTTTTTCGAGTTTTGGCGCAACGCCGCCGCATCGAAGTAATCACATAAATCACGCAACGCTGCAGAGCGGAGAATCCCCAAAATTCCGAAATCTCGAATCAAGAGCGAGGCTGTAAAAGCGTCGCCGGCGCCCATTATGACTCGCAGATAAAACCCTCCGCCAGATGCATAGAAATAAAAAGCCAGTAACTGTGGCAGAAGCACTCACTGACTGCTTTATTAAGCATAATGCGGCCATAAAGCCATTCGAGCCAATCGAGCCAGTCGATCCGGTCGCGGCAGGGCAGGATGCAGGGCTTCAAAGAGGTGGAGGAGATTGGAAGGCAGAAAGGGCCAGATGAGTACTCCGAGCCCTGAGTACTCGCAGCAAAAGGATTACGCCAAGGTATAGACAGGCAGGCGGTCATGATTGATGGGGCATTGCGGCTAATTCTTGGCGCTGCCTTTGTTTCGCCGCCTGCGGCGTCTCTCAATAAGCTGTAAATCATGCTGCTTCTCCTGCTCCTGCTCCTGCTCCTGCCCCTATTGCGTGCCAAGTCATAAATACTCCCCCGACTGCACTGCCTCCTCTGAAGACTTCTGCTAAAGCGGCATGCAGCTTTTTTAATTAAGGCACAAGGATAGCCGTGGAGCAGCAAAAGGAGCAGCTATCCACGGGGCAAGCCACCAATTAGGAGATACTCTAACTGGGCTACCACTGCTCATCCTGACAGCCACTGCCCCAAAGCTGTGCTGCCCCGCTCAGACTGGGGGCACTATCAACTGCAAAGCGAAGAGAAAGACAAATGGCCAAGGCGCGAAATGTTTGACAACTGCGTTGGACTGCAGGCCGGGGTCATCCATCAAAGCGGCCTGGGGAATGTACACTGTCGAATGGGAGGGGGTAAATTGAAATGGCAGGCATTGCAATTATCGCCTCAGCTGCCCCTCCCGCCTCCAGCCCCAGGGGCTGGCCATTTCCCGCTAGATTAGGCCCGCTGACAATACATAACCGAATTAGCGCCACGGGGTCGCATTTTTATAGGACAATTCCAGGGCCCAGGGCCGTCTTCCGGGCCATCGAGAGTCTGCCTGCCAGTCATGCATCATTCGCGGCTGCAGCCAGTAATTTTTGCAATTTTTTGGGGCGCCCGAGAACTCGAGACTCCACCAAACTAAAACTCCACTCGACGGTTCGACTCCACTCGAGTGGACTGCATCTTTTCGTCATGGAGCTAGATTTATGAACCTCGGGGTCCGGGGCCTCTTCCTGGCAATATTGTAAATCATTTCCAAATTATTTAGTCGCTCTCCATTCATACACATATATATTCATATTTTTGGCGCCTTTCCTGTGTTCCTCTGTTGCTGGGGGCTCTGTTGCGCCGTTGCTTTGTGGAACGGGCCTCGAATGTGGCACGTGATTGCGTTATAAATTACAAGCCATTGGCTGACCCCTTCCCCTGCGCCCCTGCGCCCCTGCGCCACTGCTGATAGTTAATGTGCCGCAAGTGCTCCCAGAGCTACGTCGAAGCGATAGAGGATGAACCCAAATGGAATTTGGAATCACAAGAATCCATTTGATAATTCTTTGACCCACTACTCCAGTACACACATCCATATATGCATATATACCTGCTATATAGTATATACACCCTTCCCTTCAATCCAAACAGTCGAATCAGCTGACAGATGTCGCTTTCGTATCGCCCCTCCCTCCCTGCAGCAAATTAAATGGCAGCTCTGTTGTAGCATGTAATTTAATATTCATTATATGTATGCACAATATATAGTACTGCCATTATGATTGCATGATCTGTCAATCTGCCCAATTGCCAGGCCCCGCCTTCGGCTCGCCCCGCCCCGCAGTAGACCAGCTCAAGGTGCAGGTGGAGAAGAGTTTCGCTTTGGCCTTTCAGGCGATAAAACGAAGCGAAAAGTGCCGCTATCTATTAATATCGCTTTTGGCTTTTCGCTGGCGGTAGAATGGGTAAAACGGGAGAATGAAAAACGCTGAAAACTCCTAACGAACGACACCTGCACGGAGCGAACGAAGTTGCCATGTCCTGCTCCTGCAATGGCCCCCGTGTATGCCCCTGGCGGTGGCGTGTGTCCCGCTTCTTCTTGCTGTTTGCATTGGTTCCCCCTTTCTTTTTGCAATACACTGAATTGGCTGCTGCTTCTGGCCCATCGCTGCCGCTGCCTCTGCCGCTGCCCGTGCTGCCTGTGCTGCTGCTGCTGATGTTGCACGAATGTTGTAAATCAAAAGTAGGCGAGTCACACGAAGGCTCTTCCTCTGGCGGCAGCCGCTGCTGCGCCTATTTGACTGGCAGGCCGAGCGGATAACGCTGGCAATTATCGCGCTTGTGTTGCACGAACGGCGGAAGCGGTAGAGGCGCCACATCATGTTACCATTGCCCCCCTAACCATCCCTATCCACATCCCACCCATATTTGCCGGCATCCTTTTTGCAGTTCTCTGCTTTCTTTTCTGCCTTTTTCTTTGTGCAATCCAATTGGCAGCGAACAAAGCAAAACAAGTTGCACGTTGTTGTGCCTCCTGCTACAAGTCCCCAAAAAATATGGCGAAACGAGTACCATCCTCCCGTGCACCCGTTCCAGCTGCGTCCTCCCAACCCCTCCAACCGGTCATTCAGGCAGTCAGGCAGTCAGGCAGTCAGTCAGTCATTGAAGTCATTTATTGCCACCAAAAGTTTCGCAAGGCTTTTTGTTGCTGCCCCAAACTGTACTTGCTCCCGTGGTGGAGAGATGGAGCTCGTGCTGGGGCTCGGGCTCGGTCCGCTCCGTTCCGTTCCGTGTCCGGGTTGTGTTCACAATTTGTGGACACGCCGACCGCCATTTGATTGTTCCCTTCTCGCCGCCGCTGTTCCTGCCCCGCCGCCGCAGCGTGTTGTCGATTCCTCCGTTAATTCGCCAGGTGGCCCGAAACTGCGCATTGCTTTGATGATTGGGAGACCCCGGCCATCCCCAGCATTTCATGGCTCTCCGGCACACCCATCCCCGGTACACCCCTCACTGGGTCCGACCGGCCGTGATAAGCCACTCGTTTGTTTGCTCAGGAACGGCACGAAAGATGACGTGCCTTGGATTGCCCATAAATGAGTCTGACTAAAGCAAACATGCCAGGAGGGATTGGGCATGGGACGGGCCTACGTCTTCTCGGCCGCCCCACAGCGGAAGGAACGGAAACACAATCCAAGAAGGCAGGAAAAGCTTTTCGCTCTTTTTTGGAACCATGCCGTTAGTCCGTTTCAAACATTTCAACTTTTGTCGAATGACAATTCGAAAGCGAGCTTCTGTCAGAATCCGATAGGCGGCAGCCTCGCGCAAAAAAACACGTTGGCTTTTAATCTAAATTTAAACGTCAAACACATTACAACATACACACACACATTAATTAATTTGTTCGTTTGATTAAAATACAAAATTACTATGCGACCAGCCGATATTATCCGTGTCTTATCGCGTTTTATCGTGTTTTTCGCTGTCAACTTTTACTTACTGTACCGGCGAAAAAACGGCGCCCAAAACCAAAAAGAAGGCCCCAACTGAAAGATGGCAACATTCATGAGGAGCCACAAGGCTCACAGATCCAGGAAGAGGAGAAAGCTGATGAAGGGGAAGAGCCAGAGGAAGAGGAAGAGAAAGAAGTGGTGGAGCGGCAGCAGGCAAGCCGCAAGAGGTATTTTGAAAATTTTAATTTTAAATTTAACGACCATTGTGACCGCAAAAACGATTTCCCAATAATTTTTTCTTGTAATGGACTATATCGATAGGGACGATATTTTTAACTGCGATATATTGTCTGAATTTAGTCGAACCAGTACCATCTTTACTAGAATTCACCATCTCTAAATTATCTGAACTTGCGCGAACATGTTGGATTTTGTTTTTGTTTGTTGATTTTTATATTCCAATACCGTCAGTCTGAGAAATATAAGGTTGCAAATTTCATATAATACAATACCAAAAATTCGAAAAAGCCCCCAGCTGCAGAATGGAATGTGCAATTTGTGCGGAAGCCCCAAGAAAATACAAATGCAACAAGTGTATGGCTCCCTAGTAAGTCAATCCCATCTCTCTCTGTAGCTATGTAGTCTGATCACCCATCTGTCCACAGTTGTTCAGTTAAGTGCTACAAGGTCCACAAGGACTCTGTGGAATGCACGGCAGCTCAGCAAGCAGCGGCTTCGAAGAAAGAAGACTCACAAAAGATTATCGATGAAGAACCCACGCTGCACGCCCCGTTCCCCAGCGATGACACTGTGCCGCCAGAGAAGCTGCAGGAGCTAAGTGAGTCCCTAAACGTATTAGACTACAATTTCCACTAACATTCTCCTTGGCCCAGATACCTGCGAACCACTGCGCCAGCTACTCCGCAATCCGCACCTACGGGATCTTCTCAAACAGATTGATGTTGCACACAACATCCAGTTGGCCATGACAGCGGCCATGCAGGAGCCGCTCTTCCTCGAATTCGCTGACGCTTGCATGCAGATCGTGGAGCCCATGTCCCAAGCCGAGCGCGACGAATACAAACTATGCTCTTAAAATTCGCAGTGAGATCGCTTGTGATAAACTAATAAGTCTTTATTTAAATGTATATTAATACGTCGGTATATTTGTGGATAAGTTTGGCTATAAACATGACACATGCCATGAAGGCATGGACACGAGATCTATGTAGATACAGTCCAGAGGGATGTACTTAGATTAGACCTATCTATATTGCAATTAGTTTTAAATCAGTTGGGCAATTGTTGGCCAAGTTAAAGCTTTCTTTGTTCCTTGAATATTGTGCGCTACAGCTCAGTGCGCTCGTGCTCGTTCCGATTGACTAGGCTGGAAATGTACACACTCAAATGCTTGGGCAGGGGGACCCAGTCCAGCTCATTGGCGAGGGCAAAGTAGCGCCAGCGCAGTATTTGGGCCACCTCCTTGGGCTGTCGGGAGCGGGTGAAGACGCCCTTCTTATTGCCCCCCACGCGGGTGACGGCTGAAAGTGAAATGGGAAATCATAAGAGATCTTGATATTCTTTGGAATAGGCTCCTATGGCACACACTTTGGGCCGTCTTGAAGTCGGCAAAATTCCACACAAATTCCCCGATGAACCAGTTTTGTTTTCGCAGCTTGTCAAATGCCTTAAAGTGCTGGGAGAAGAGTGCCACCTGATAGTCCTCGGACCAGATGTAGGCTGGGAGCTGTAAACGATCAATCAGAGCATATCCAAATCGTTGTAGAGCAATTTTCTTACTGAGTGCAGGCCCTCCATGGTATCAGCGCCGTACTCGAAGAGGATCACGGGCTTCCCGAAGTTCTGGTGCCAGCGCTGCGCCTCCTCTGTCAGCAGATTGACGATCATGTCCGTGCGTCCAGAGTTCTGGTACCATGCGTTGTATCGGTTGAAGCCGACGATGTCGAGCAATGCGGCCAGGTGGCACTGTTTGGGCGGATCGGGGCTGGCATTGATGGCTGCCGTTAGAGGCCGCCCCTGGGCTATGCTCCTCGTGTAATTTACCAGGGCCCTGTGTGGACAGATAGCGATTAGCCCTGCGCTACAAAGGCGATGCAACTCACTGAAAGTAGCTGAGGGCCCCCATCTTGAAGGAGCGCGGCTCGTTGGCCACCGACCAGGCGATGACACTAGCGTGGTTGCGATCCCTGTGGATGAGCTGCTCCAGCGCAGTCATGTGGTTGCTCAGCAGTTCTGGCTCAAAGATGTCTATGTTGACAGCGGAACATTCGTCGACAATCATGATTCCGTGCTCGTCCGCGAACTGCATTGACTCTTCAGAGTACGGGTAGTGCGAGGTGCGGTACGCGTTGGCCCCGATCCACTTTATCAAGTTAAAGTCGCGGGCGAGAAGTGCATTGTCCAGGCCCTTGCCCCGAATCTGCAAAATGGGAATTCGAATGAGCGGATAGATGCACATAGGCTAACGTCTGACTCACATCGGAATCCTCGTGCCGGCCAAATCCTCGAAGGTAGAGAGGTTTCCCATTTAGGAGCAGGCTCGTGTTCGTCCAGCTAAGGGTGCGGATACCCACGGGCAGTCTGTAGGCATCTAGGAGCTCTTCCCCATCATCGCCCTCGTAGCTGGACATGAATAGTTCGAACTCCAGGCTGTAGAGATGTCCTGGTTCCGGGTGCATCAAGTACGGCCACCACGGTTTCGCACCCGGTACCAGGAGAGTTCCATTGTAGAGAGCGCGGTTGACCTGCTGAGCCGCTACGACTCCATCCCTGTCCCGCAGCTGAACGAGAACATGCGTTGGCTGCATTGTGGAATCTTCCGTGGCGCCATGTAACCAGATGCGGTAGTCAATGCGTCCCACTTGATCGGAGGATAGCTGCGTGCTGATCGCGATATCGCTAATGTGGACGAGTGGCGTGGTGTAAAGCTGGACGGAGCGGTGGATACCAGCGTAGTTAAAGAAGTCGAAGGTGTAGCTCTGGATAGGTGTCTGGCCGTTGTCCGTATTGACGGTGGTTACCTGCCCCTGTGGAACGCTGCGATTGGTCAGGCGGTTGTCGCACATGACCGTGATCCGGTTCTCGCCGCCAAAGTTCAGAAGGTTGCTGATCTCCGCCTCAAAGGGCAGATGCCCGATGCTGTGGCGCATGGCATTGCGCCCGTTGATCCACACGACCGCCGCATAGTGGACGCTGCCGAAACGCAGCCAGGTGCGTCGATTTTCCGTCCAGTCGCGGGGCACGAAGAAGGTTCGCTCGTACCAGACGGTGCCGACGTGGTCGCGCAGGTTGTCCGTGGTTATGTCGTTGTAGGAGGCCGGGACTGGCATCGGAATGATCTCCAGGCCAGTCTTCTGCAGACTGTCCTCGTACCACTTCTCTCGAACACCCTGGAGAGGGTCACTCGGTTGGCTCATAAGCAGGCGCCACATCCCGTCCAGGCTGCGCACATCCCGCGTCTCCGATTCGCGTGGATACAGCAGTCCTGTAGTTGGGACTGGCGTAGTCCAATTGTCGTGCAAAAACACTGTGTGCTGCTCCGTTTTATCGTGTTTGTTGTTTTCTCCGTGGCCAGCGACCACCAGGCGAAGGACAAGGCTCGATAGGAGCCACATCCATGAGCAAGCTCCAGCTCGCATTTTGAAATTTTATTCAGCTGGCAGCTGCAAAAACTGCCTTTGTTTCAATTTATAATCGCAAATACTCTTCCGGTACTCTTTCCCACCCCCGCCCACAATTGTTTATTTTGATAAGACCGTACCAACCACCAACCACCAACCATATGGCAAAGCCGGCTAGGGGTGACATAGGTTTCCATCGATAGTGAGCAACCGATAGCTGTTAATAAATAATGCACTTTATTTAAAATTTAGTTTAGCTTATCAGTACATATAAAAAATACAATGCACTAAAGCTATACATTTAGGATTGTACAGGGCAATGTAACGGAATGGAAAATGCAACTATGGCGATGGCAGATCAAGGATCACACGCATAAAGACATATTTACAGTAGCCATGTGTCCGAATACTACGTATTCTCCACCTTGCCCATGTCGGCGATGTAGGTGAAAAGGTCTTCCGGGAAGCTGGAATCGTCCAGCTCCCGGGCAAGGGCAAAGTATCGCTTCCGCAGCAGGTGAGCCGAAGCTTTCGGTTGTCGGGCACGCGTGAAGACTCCCTTCTTGTTGCCTCCTACGCGGGTGTAGCCTGAACGGATATATAAAGAGCTTTAATCATAATGCAGTATGGAGGAGGACACGATGACACCTACTCTGGGCCGTTTTGAAGTCGGCAAAATTCCACACAAACTCTCCGATGAACCAGCCCTTCTTCCGCAGGATATCGAAGGCCTTGAAGTGGCGCGCGAAGACCTCCGATTGAAACTCCTCTGACCATACGTAAGCCGGGAGCTGCAGGAGGAACAGGGAAATGAAGAGAAAGAGTGCCAGGGGACATTCCTCACAACCATACCAGGTGCAGTCCTTCCAGTGTATCGGCTCCGTACTCGGCCATGATTACGGGTTTGTTGTACTGTTTGTTCCATGCGACGGCCTCCTCAACCACCTTCTTTGTGACCATGTCCAGTCGACCTGTGTTGGAGTACCACGCATTGTAGCGATTGAAGCTAATGATGTCCAAAAAGCGGCCCTGCAAAGGAATGATACGGTTAAACGGAACTAGCAAGACTCCGGAGAGCCTTATACATACCGCCTTGTCATCGGTCCATGGAGTGGCAATGGCTGCCGTGATTGGCCGTGTCTTGTCGAGGGACCGCGTAAGGTTAGCCACAAGTCTGTGAAGAAATGCTATTAAAAAAAACAGGCGGAGAGCACCCAGTAATTCACCCACTGGAAATACGAATCCGCATTCATTTCACGGGTGCGAGGCTCATTAGCTATAGACCACATGACCACGCTGGGATGGTTGCGATCTCGGTGGATTAGCTGCTCCACCGACGACTTGTGTTTGCCCAGCAACTCCTGGTTGTAGTTTCTGAAAGGGGAGAGAATTCACAATTAATTAATTAATTCTGCACCTGCAGAGAAATCCACAGCAGACTCACTCCGCGTCGACGCTGGGACACTCGTCAACAATCATGATCCCGTGCTCGTCCGCAAACTGCATCGACTCCTCAGAATAGGGATAGTGCGAGGTGCGGTACGCGTTGGCCCCGATCCACTTCAGCAGGTTGAAGTCCCGCACCATAAGGGCATTGTCCAGGCCCTTGCCTCGCACATCGGCATCCTCGTGGCGGCCGAAGCCGCGGAAGTAGACGGGCCTGCCGTTGATCTGGAATGTGGCGTTGCTCCAGCTTAGGGTGCGCACGCCCACCTTCAGGCGGTAGACGTCGAGTAGCTCATCGTTGGAGGCGTGTAGCTTCACCTCCAGCTGGTAGAGATATCCTGGTTCCGGGTGCATCAGGTACGGCCACCAGGGGTTCACATTGTCCACCTGCAGATTCCCACTTAGCTGTGCATCCGAAGTGCCATTGGCCACCAACTTGCCCTCCCGGTCGTACAGTTGGGCTCGCACGTACAGGGCATTGTCTGCTTCGTTGACGGCGCTTCCATTAAATTTGACGCTGTAGAGGACCTCTCCCCCTAGGAAGCGAATTAAGTCGAGGTAAGGAGTGGCTGACAGGAGCATTTCCACTTTAGCTTACCGACATTGTCCTTCGACAGATTCGTAGTTACCACTACCTCCTCTATGAACGTCTTGGGCGTGGTGTACAGGTGGACCGAACGATGGATTCCGGCATAGTTGAAAAAGTCGAACGTGTAGCTCTGGACTATCGTCATGCCGTCGTCGTTTGGTAGCTCGGTGATCCTACCCTGTGGCACAGTAGTCTGTATTAAAGCGTTGTCGCACATCACCGTGATGCGGTTCTCTGCGCCGTATTTCAGCAGATGCGTGACCTCCGCCTCGAACGGCAAGTGCCCGATCTCGTGCTTGACCACCTTCTGGCCGTTCACCCACTGCAAGAAAGAGACATCTTTTAGGTGACTTGTTGATGTTGATTACCCGATCTGGTGCTTACCACATACGCCTCGTAGTGGACGCTGCCGAACCTCAGCCAGACCCGCTGATCCACGGCCCAGGAGCGTGGGGCAAAGAACTTGCGGTCGTACCACACAGTGCCCACGTGGTCGCGCAGATTGTCGGTGGTTATATCATTGTAGGAGGCGGGCACGGGCATCGGTATGGTGGGTCTGCTCTTGCTCAGGTCCTTGCTGTACCACTCTTCCCGCACACCCTGCGTTGGGTTCGCCTGGTCGGAGCGCACAAAGTTCCAGATTCCGTCCAGCGAACGCACCTCCCTCGTCTCGGACTCCCGGGGATAAAGCATTCCACGCGACTGCGGCACTTCCTTGTTGATCAGAATCAGAGCTATGGAGAAGTGCAGCAAATACAGTCCAGAGACGAACGAGAATAACCAGAGAGCTGCAAAGACAAGCAAATGCAATACTCAGAGAGGAGTAGGTACGTATGGTATGTGAGAGAGCGCTGGGAGAATATTTTTTATAGATAAATTGATAAAAGCGGCTATCAGTAGTTTCCACTTGTTGATAAGCCGGAATACATGACTGAAATCGTTGGGCACGAGGTCGGCGGAGGGAGAACGTTTCAGAATTATTTTAGGGTCAAAGATGTCCAATGTCAATCTCAGTTGTAACGGTATCCATACTCACGTTGAAACGATTTGTTATTGTTATTTCTCAAAGTCGGTGTGCGAAACGGAACGGAACGATACACAGCGCATCAAAAGGAAACGGAAATGAAATTGTATATTCTACATTATTGTGGGTTAACATTTGCATGCAACAATGCAACAGACAAAAACGATCAGGACAAAAGGTGGAACAAATGCCAAACAATGCCAAGGCAAGAGCGCCAGAGAGTACGAGAGAGATGTGAAGCACCTGGCCAAAACAGCTGTTACTAAAATCATTCTCGCGCTCTCTCTCGCCCTCGCTGATGTGTGTGTCATCAGGCAGATAGATGAGAGCGAGCGATTCTGTTTAGATTCGGTTTTGTTTCGATTCATTAATGTTAATTTAATGAACGCATTGCTTTGCACTTTGTTTTGCTAATAAAACACGTTTGGCATCGCGACACAACGAATATCGAGGCACCAACATTTCAGAAATCTCCACAAGCCCATAATATTTATGGGACGGAGCGCGGCAAGCTGAACTTTGCCTCTCTCACGTTCGGCCGTCGGAGGCACACTGTGCAGCACTTCCTCTATTTATATTTATCTACCCTATCGCTAGAGTGCACGTTCGCTGGTCAGATTAGACGTTGGGCCTCTTACCCATTTGAATTGATATCTTCCACAATAGGGTCGGCGTTATTCCCAACATTGGAGAAGGATGTGAATGTCTCAAGGGATTTTGACAGCATTTGCATGGATTCCTGTGCTGTAAATGCAACGGTCGATAACGGTTGGGATTGGCTTACACATTTCGGACTCCGGGTGCGACTCCCTCTGCTTTGCGGCCTCAACTGACTGAGAGTGCACTTGTTGCGGCTGCCCGCTTTTAAAGCGGCCTGGTTCTGGTTTTGGGTTCTAGTTCTGGCTCTGGCTCTGGCCGTGGCTCCGACTTCAGTGGGTGCAGCGGGGGAGTGCGAGTTCCCAATTTAAATGCCAAAAGGCACAGCAGGCGTACCGTTACGCGCGATATTTGCATAACGACGGGTGGGGGGTATCAAAGTCAGCCAGAATGTGGCGAGCTTACCCCAAATTTCATATTTGCGACACTTGAGGCGGATCTTGAGATACATGATGGCCACAGGGCACAGGCACAGGCGACTGACTGGACTGCTGCTGCTGCTGATGCGCCGATGGGCCAGTGGCTACTGAATGGGAATTATCGGCAGTTGTCTGCCGGTGACGGTGACCCGGGCCTGAACCAGACAGGGAGCACCGTGCGCCAGTTTTATGCGGATCTGTGGCAGCCCGTCCGCGTCCGTCCGAGCGGATGTCATTAGGCAAGGTAATTGTGGACTGTGCTGCCCGGCTCTGTTTCAGTTTCTCTTTGGGGCACACAAAGGTCGTCTCGGCCTGCGTCTTTGCCGGCTGTGGATGTTGGGGGTTTGGGCGCATGGGCGGAAGCTCCAGCTTAGAACACGCACGCACCGCCAAAGCACCGCTAAAGCCAAAGCCAACGGGCCTCAGTGCAATGAATGTGCCCCTAATTAAGCCCTGCCCCAACCCCAACCGCCCAGCCGATAAACTACTGCGTCCCAAATCCAGAAGCCACTGTGCTGCCTCATTTGGGGTCAACGGCTAGAAAACGAGTGAAAGCAACTCCTAGGGTGCCATTGCTAGAAGCTATGGTGGGAGGGTGGAAGGGCACCTCAAGGAGCAGTAGCAGGGGCGGAGTTAATTTTCAATTAAGTGTTTCTGTCGTGGACATGGACTGGAGATTAATTAGTCTTAATTGGGAGCGAAATGTGGAACTTCTTGCTCCAAATAGAAACTCTCAATTTATTCACCCTGAAGCCCCTTTTTTTTCTAATCTATGGCAAATCCCATTTCATCGATGCGTAAACACAGGGGCTCCTTGTACTGGGAATCACATTGAATTGGGTGGTTGCTCGGGCTCATTAATCATCTTACTGTTTGTACACCCCGATGCCAGAAAGGCTATCACATCTCTGACCTCCTCTTTCTTAGAAATACAATAAAGTGGGAACTTTATCAGCCCCACGTTTCCGCCTAGGATCCGATCACTTATCTCTTCTGTAGACTCCAACGGAACTAGGGTTAGGGTATCAAGGCAGGAGTGTGCTAATGAGCACATTTTCCTTCATGCTGCTTTCACTTTCAAGGCCCGGCCGCACCCGCACCCACCCCAGAGCAGATGCAGCTGACCCAGCCCCAGCCCCAGCCCCAACCCAAGCGAAAGAATCAATGAAAGAGCGCACAAGAAAGTGAAAATGTCAGCCAAAGTAAATGGCTGCAAATATTAATGGAATAGTTTACCCATTTTCAGTCAGCTGGTCGGATCAGGATCGTGATGTGCTGCTGCAAAGTGTTTTCTCTGGGGCTATGTATATGGACGCAGGAGTTTTGTGCACTTAGGAACACTTTCCGCTAAGATCAAACTCGACTTTTTAGACGCTTTTAGTCATCTCGCTGCTATTAATAATAGGCTGAAGCGTTCTGCATGTAATTAATTTAACACGGAGACTAGCACAGAGCCACCAAAGCAAGTCACGAAACGAAGCCCGCCACACTCGCGCCACAGCAGAAACGACAACGCGATGGAGACGACTGCAACAACCCCAGCGGTCGCTCGCTAGCCAACTGAGCTCTCTGCTGAGGGGAGCTACTTGAATGTGCTGCACTGTTGATCTTTGGGCAGGACGGGCTATTTGAGTCTGCTGAACAGTGGGTGTTAATTAACTTTCTAAAGTTTCTATTTACCGTGCAACAGCTGTGCTTCCACTGTGCAATGGTACATTTGAATTTCGATGATTGCGGCTGTTTCACGGCGTTGCAGCCCTGGTAAAAAAAGTAAACAAATATCAGCTGCTCAATTTTCTGTCCTAGACCCTGGGAACTTATCGAAATTCGAACATGTAGATTCATGACGTGATGCGAAAGCAAGCCAACCATTGCAAATGTTTGTGTGTTCACCAAAACAAAAAAATATGACTGTGTGTTTTTAAATTTCAACCTCCCAAAACCGGACGGTTTCATGAAGACAAAACAGAAATATATATATATTTTTTTATATAAATATATATACTGTATGGTTAGTGGTGAATTGTCAAATGATAAAGGCTGAAAGGGCTAACTAGCTAAAATCGAGGAATATTGTCGTGTTCGTTAGTATATTTACGGTATATTTTGATAATGACATGGTATATTTCGGTATATTTCTAAAGTTATGCGGTATTTTTTATTGATAACGCGGTCACACTTAGCTGAACTCCAATTAAATTTTTTGTTGTTGTTTAATAGGCTGTTTACATTGGGACTGCGTCATGCTTCTTTGCGTCTTGGCGAAGACGCAGTTTTTTTTACATAGGTTAAGCATAGGGCCCTAGTGGTGGCAAAAAGTTGCGTCGATCCCTGATTCATGTGCGTCTATTCGATATATTCGATTGCTTTTGCGCTTAACTGCACATTTTTGCACTTTTCTGCCTATCAGCGCAACTATCACCTCTAAGAACAACAAAAACTTGTAGTTAAAAAGTCCCATTTTCATTTGTCCGCTAGAGCTGTGAAACGATTGATAGTTGAGCCATCGATAGCTTTGAATGTTTTGAAAAAAACAATCGATACTATCATGATAGTATCGGGCTCAGAAAATTATTAATTATTAATTTTTTTTTTGTTATTTACTGGTTACTGGTTCTCGGTTTCTGAGGTCACTCGACAAAACAAATCAAGTTATTTTTCCAAATATTAAGACACATTTCAAATTGACCGCCAAACTCAATTTAGCGCACCAAAAATACTGACATTTTTCGCTCTCAATTCGTGGAGAGTTTGCTAAATTTGCTCTCAATTCGTGGAGAGTGCTCTCTTTTCAGTGGAGAATAGAGTGTTTTTGTGGAGACTTTCCCCTCATTTTCGTGGTGTGGCAGCATGCTGCTGAAATTTTTCCCATACAAAATCAAATGTATCTTACGGGAACGCGTATGGAATAAAGATTCATTGTTGCGTCATTCCATACGCGTTCCCGTATGATACATTTGATTTGTATGGGAAAAATTTTCAGCAGCATGGGGAAATGGAGTAGCAGCAATGCTGTGCAACTTTAGCACGGAATGAGCAACAATCTGCATACCTTGGGAAAATGGATATTATGGACTTGAGATATTGTTTGTAATTTCAGGCTCCAAGTAATGCAGAAACTACTCAGTCTCTTATTAAAAGACATCAACGAAATTGTGTAGCTCATGGGTACCAATAATAGGTATCAGAACCGGGATAAATGTATATATAAAACACAAAACATATGCATAGGTAGGTAAAAAATAACTCAATCTTACGAAAATGCAATATTAATGTTTCAAAGCAGCCTGAAACAACAAATTTAACATCAATTAAAGGAAATAAGGTATACCAAATCCCATACGCATAGAAGAAACTTGGTTGACCAGCAACAATGACGTTACATTTAGTCAACATTTAAGTTTTATGCTTTGGCTGTTTTTGTTTGAACCTTAATATGTAAATAATCCAATAAAAAACTGTTCTGAAAACTAACCAATCTTGTACTCAATTTATGGATGAATTGGATAAAACTATTTTTTTTGGGCTGAAAGGGCTAACTAGTTAGTAATATTAAACGGAATTTTAAAATCGAGGAATATTGTCGTGTTCGTTAGTATATTTACGGTATATTTTGATAATGACATGGTATATTTCGGTATATTTCTAAGGTTATGCGGTATCATTGATAAATCCTCGGTCACACTTACCTGAACTCCAATTAAATTGTTTGTTGTTGTTTAAATCCCATTTTCAATACTTTGTCGGCAATTCTGAAAAATCCCAGGTCCAATTGGGAAATATGTGAATTTTCAATTAGGGGTCGTTTCAATATTCAAAGAGGAGAAATTTATAACTGTAAATGTCTAAATGTAATGTCCGTAAAAGTCACGTAAAATCTGGAAGCTGAAGCTGCACCATGTCTCTGGCGTTCGACCTGAGCGACTCCGCCGACGCTTATCACCCACTGGACAGCGGGAGCGGCAAAGACGCGGCGGCAGCAGTCCCACACAGACACGCGATCAGCATGAGGGTCTCGTGGCTCAGGCAATGTCGCCGCTATAAGCTGCCCGCCCTGATTCTAATAATGCTATTTCTGATGTCGTGCCTTGCGTACCGCATCCTGAGTGTACGTAGAAATTTGTCATCCTTTCATCCATCTTATTCATCGACTTATTTCCGCACAGGCCGAGCGGGACGCTCCTCCCATAGACGTGCACCGCAGCTCCCCGCTGCTGGACGCTTATGAGGATTTCAGCGCGATGCGGGCCGGCGACCTAAAGATGCGCATCGAGGAGATGGTGAGAATCAAGGTAAGTGCCCAACACATTGGAACCTAAAGTAGATCAAACCTTATCCGACTTTTCTTAGAGCACTGTGTCCGTGGAGCTGCGAGAGTTGGAGTCACGCCGCCAGAAGCTGCAGTCGGACATCAGTCAGTACAATCAAAAGATCGAGGAGCTCAAGCAGGAGCTGCTGCGAGAGCAGACCGAGCTAGAGCGGCTCAAAATGTCCGTGGAGCAGGCGCAGGTGGCCCAGCGAGAGGCAGTGCAGCGCAACACTCCCGATCTTGCCCTTCCGCGCACCCTCCTGCCTAACTCGCTGCCCCGAAAGATGAATACTGTTTCGACGGGCATAGCCGCCTCGTGTGCGATGCACAACTGCTTCGACCACTCCCGTTGCAGCCTCACCTCCGGCTTCCCAGTGTACCTATACGACCCCGACGAGCACAGCGTCCAACGAGCTGGCTACGACATCGATGGCTTCCTTAAGACGACTCTCAAACAGACTCTCGGCTACAACGCGCATATCGTGAGGGATCCAAAAGAGGCCTGCATCTACCTGGTGCTGGTGGGCGAGGCTCTGCTGGAGCAGGATCTGCTGCGAAACAACCGATACGCAGCCCAAGAGGCTGAACAGCAGCAGCCGACTGCTCCCAGCCACACAAACGACTGTCCCATCGACATGCAGAAGCTCTACAACCTGCCCTACTGGGGTGGCGATGGCCGCAACCATGTGCTGCTTAACCTGGCACGCCGGGACCTCTCCTCCCGCAGGACGAATGCACTGCTTCAGCAGAACACCATGCGAGCCATTGTCGTGCAGAGCGCCTTCGAGCTGGGCCAGTTCCGGCCCGGCTACGACCTGATTGTGCCCCCCATCCTGGGTCCGCCCGGAGGAGACGTTTGGCAGGAGTGTGCCAGCATGGTGCCCGCCCGCCGCAAGTACCTGATTTCGTTCCAGGGAGAGATGAGACCTAAACCAGACTCCCAGGCCTCCCACCCGCTGGACGACTTCATACTAGAACACTTGACGGACATGTCCAAGGGACCCACTCAGGATCAGTTCGAGCTACAGTTCCAGTGCGTGCCCGCCACGGAGCAGCAGGAGGCGGACTCTGTGTCCGACTGGACGCTCTGTGGTTCGGATTCCTCCCGCAAGCAGCTGCTGAAGGACTCTACCTTCGCTTTGATCCTTCCCCCGCTCAACGAGCGGGTGGCTTCTACCCTCATGCTGGCCCGACTATACGAGGCGCTGCGCTCCGGTGCCGTTCCCGTCATCCTCGGGGCAGACGAACTGCGTCTGCCATACGCGGAGACTCTGGACTGGCGTCGGGCGGCACTACTCATGCCCAAGGCTCGCATCACGGAGCTGCACTTCCTCCTGCGAGCCGTCCAGGATGCGGACTTGCTTCTTCTGCGGCGCCAGGGCCGCCTCATCTGGGAGCGCTACCTCAGTTCCGTTCAGGCCACGGTGGACACGGTCATAGCCAGCCTACGCGATCGCCTAGGCATACCCCCGCGCCCGGTTCCCCCTGTGGTATCACAAAGTGTGTTCAACAGCACATTCATACCTCTGAAGTCCGATCCGCCAGTGGGACTGGACACTGAACCAGAGGAGTCTCTTGGACCCATTGAGCCGCCATATCCGAGCCCCGCCTTTCGCAGAAACTACACGATCCTACGAATGCAGTCCAAGGAGGCCTGGAACGACTGGGTAGATCCCTTCTACATGTATCCCCAACTGCCCTTCGACCCTGCTCTTCCCTCCGAAGCGAAGTTCATTGGATCACACACAGGATTCCGGCCAATCGGTAAGGGCATTGGAGGAGCCGGGAAGGAGTTCAGCGAGGCCCTTGGCGGGAACTACCCCAGGGAACAGTTCACCATCGTCATTTTGACGTACGAGCGGGAGCAGGTGCTGATGGACTCGCTGGGCCGCCTTTACGGTCTGCCGTATCTGCACAAGGTGGTCGTGGTATGGAACTCACCCAAACCGCCGCTGGATGACCTTCGCTGGCCAGATATCGGAGTGCCAGTGGCGGTTCTGCGCGCCCCGCGCAACTCGCTCAACAACCGCTTTCTGCCCTTCGATGTAATCGAGACGGAGGCGGTCCTCTCGGTGGATGACGACGCCCATCTGAGGCACGACGAGATCCTGTTCGGTTTCCGTGTGTGGCGCGAGCACCGCGACCGTGTCGTCGGTTTCCCCGGCCGCTACCACGCTTGGGATGTGAGCAGCAACAACATGTGGCACTATAACTCCAACTACAGCTGCGAGTTGAGCATGGTGCTCACCGGAGCGGCTTTCCTGCACAAGTACTACATGTACCTGTACACCTATCACCTGCCGCAGGCCATTCGCGACAAGGTGGACGAGTACATGAACTGCGAGGACATCGCCATGAACTTCCTCGTGTCGCACATCACCCGACGGCCGCCAGTGAAGGTGACTTCTCGGTGGACGTTCCGCTGCCCAGGATGCCCGGTTTCTCTCAGCGAGGACGACACCCACTTCCAGGAGCGGCATAAATGCATAAATTTCTTCAGCCAGGTGTTCGGCTACACACCCCTGCTGAACACCCAGTACCGGGCGGACTCGATCCTGTTCAAGACCCGCATTCCGCACGACAAGCAAAAGTGTTTCAAGTACATCTAGATCTAGTCGGGTCGGGGCACCCACACCCGTATCCATCCAGAAACGATGAACCACAACGGCGGCCGCTTCACTTACTACGCTAGACAACGGCTCCCAGTCCGAACCCGACTCCTAGTTCAAAGCACAAAGTTATGTACAGTATATACTACGTAGCCCACTGGAGGAGAACTTTGACTCAAAGCGTGGCGCTACTGATAAGCAATATGAGATTAACCAGTCACCTTTTCCACGCGAGTTCATCTGCTAATCTTGCCTAGCTTCTCACTTATACTATGCACTGTGCATGTTCGTGTGTCTGCTTCGGCCTGCCGGATATGCCGGAGATACCAAAACAGATTGTAAGTCTTTTACTTATCTGTGTCTTCGTTTTCTTAATTAACCTAAGTTACTATGTAAGTATGTATATGTATGACCCCCACTTGACTCTGTATATAGCGATCAATTAGACGATTCCTGTTCTTTTCATGTACATATATCGTGCATCACGTTTTATCTTGATATAGTACTAAGACGTTGACTGCACCATCCATTTGATGCATCCGAAGTGCCACCAAGCCGAAGCTTGTTCTCTGCCAAGCATCCCTTATTCGTAAGGGATAGGTCAAGCGATTGATGAGCCGCCAATAAATCAAGTCGTGACATGGGTACTAAATTATTAGAATATTATCGTTCACCGCAGACCAAATAGCACCTGGCATTAACTATCATTTGTTTCGTATATTTTTATATCAGAACCTGGGGAGAGAATACGGTAGCAGACATATATAATACATATATCGGAGGATAAGTAACACTCGCTTGTTACTTCGACATGCGCAGCTCCGGAGACGATTACCATCCTTTGGACAGCAAAAGCGAAGAGGAAAAAGCGCCGGTTGTGGTAAAGACTGACTGGATAGGCCACTGTCGGCGCGATATTCTCGCCCTGCTGCTCATGCTGCTGTTTCTGATGTCCTGTCTGGTGTACCGCATGAAAAGAGCTCACCAAATTAGGCTGGATATGTCTGCCGAGGCGACCAGACTAGAATCCCACATCCATAAGCTGCAGTGGGGCATCGGACAGCATCAGAAGGAACTCGTGGAGCTCCAGAAGGAGCGACTGCGAGAGCAGAAGACGCTGGAGCAGCTCAATATCGGCGTAAAGCAAGCGCAGGAGGCCCAACGAGAGGCAGTACGAAACACTCCCAAAATTACCCTGCCGCTCAGTTTCCTGCCCAAATCACTGCCCCGAAAGATGAATACTGTTTCGACGGGCATAGCCGCCTCGTGTGCGATGCACAACTGCTTCGACCACTCCCGTTGCAGCCTCACCTCCGGCTTCCCAGTGTACCTATACGACCCCGACGAGCACAGCGTCCAACGAGCTGGCTACGACATCGATGGCTTCCTTAAGACGACTGTCAAACAGACTCTCGGCTACAACGCGCATATCGTGAGGGATCCAAAAGAGGCCTGCATCTACCTGGTGCTGGTGGGCGAGGCTCTGCTGGAGCAGGATCTGCTGCGAAACAACCGATACGCAGCCCAAGAGGCTGAACAGCAGCAGCCGACTGCTCCCAGCCACACAAACGACTGTCCCATCGACATGCAGAAGCTCTACAACCTGCCCTACTGGGGTGGCGATGGCCGCAACCATGTGCTGCTTAACCTGGCACGCCGGGACCTCTCCTCCCGCAGGACGAATGCACTGCTTCAGCAGAACACCATGCGAGCCATTGTCGTGCAGAGCGCCTTCGAGCTGGGCCAGTTCCGGCCCGGCTACGACCTGATTGTGCCCCCCATCCTGGGTCCGCCCGGAGGAGACGTTTGGCAGGAGTGTGCCAGCATGGTGCCCGCCCGCCGCAAGTACCTGATTTCGTTCCAGGGAGAGATGAGACCTAAACCAGACTCCCAGGCCTCCCACCCGCTGGACGACTTCATACTAGAACACTTGACGGACATGTCCAAGGGACCCACTCAGGATCAGTTCGAGCTACAGTTCCAGTGCGTGCCCGCCACGGAGCAGCAGGAGGCGGACTCTGTGTCCGACTGGACGCTCTGTGGTTCGGATTCCTCCCGCAAGCAGCTGCTGAAGGACTCTACCTTCGCTTTGATCCTTCCCCCGCTCAACGAGCGGGTGGCTTCTACCCTCATGCTGGCCCGACTATACGAGGCGCTGCGCTCCGGTGCCGTTCCCGTCATCCTCGGGGCAGACGAACTGCGTCTGCCATACGCGGAGACTCTGGACTGGCGTCGGGCGGCACTACTCATGCCCAAGGCTCGCATCACGGAGCTGCACTTCCTCCTGCGAGCCGTCCAGGATGCGGACTTGCTTCTTCTGCGGCGCCAGGGCCGCCTCATCTGGGAGCGCTACCTCAGTTCCGTTCAGGCCACGGTGGACACGGTCATAGCCAGCCTACGCGATCGCCTAGGCATACCCCCGCGCCCGGTTCCCCCTGTGGTATCACAAAGTGTGTTTAAGAGTACGTTTACGCCGTTGGTGGCAAAGATTAGATTAACCATTGAGCCGGCGGAGTTTCTTGGCCCCATCGAGGCCGCATATCCGAGCCCCGCCTTTCGCAGAAACTACACGATTCTCCGGATACAGTCCAAGGAGGTCTGGAACGACTGGGTAGACCCATTCTACATGTATCCCCAACTGCCCTTCGACCCTGCTCTTCCCTCCGAAGCGAAGTTCATTGGATCCCACACAGGATTCCGGCCAATCGGTAAGGGCATTGGAGGAGCCGGGAAGCAGTTTAGCGAGGCCCTCGGCGGAAACTATCCCAGGGAACAGTTCACCATCGTCATTTTGACGTACGAGCGGGAGCACGCACTGTTGGGATCGCTGCGTCGCCTCTACGGGCTGGCCTATCTCCACAAGGTGGTCGTGGTTTGGAACTCCCCAAAGTCGCCGCAAATCAATGTTCGCTGGCCGGACATCGGAGTGCCCGTGGAGGTTGTACGCGGACCGCGAAACTCCCTCAACAACCGCTTCCTGCCATGGGACATAATCGAGACGGAGGCGGTGCTCTCGATGGACGACGACGTTCAAATCGGACACGACGAGATTGTATTCGGCTTCCGGGTATGGCGCGAGCACCGCGACCGCATTGTGGGATTGCCTGGTCGCTACCACGCCTGGGATGTGAGCAGCAGCATGTGGCGCTACAACTACAGCTGCAGCTGCGAGTTGAGCATGGTGCTCACCGGAGCGGCTTTCCTGCACAAGTACTACATGTACCTGTACACCTATCACCTGCCGCAGGCCATTCGCGATAAGGTGGACGATTACATGAACTGCGAGGACATCGCCATGAACTTCCTTGTCTCGCACATCACCCGACGGCCGCCAGTGAAGATCACTTCTCGGTGGAGCTTTCGCCGTCTTGGTCTAAAGACTTCGCTTAGCCAAAGACCCAAGCACCTGGAGAACCGCCACAAGTGCATCAATTTCTTCAGCCAGGTGTTCGGCTACACCCCCCTGCTGAACACCCAGTACCGGGCGGACTCGATCCTGTACAAGACCCGCATTCCGCACGACAAGCAAAAGTGTTTCAAATACGTCTAGATCTAGAACAGGAATGGATTTTCTATCGATTTCGTGTACTTCATATAGTAGGTATGTATTTTCCTCATTTGCACAGAGAATGAATGTGTGTTTTGTTAGTACAAAGTAGTGATAATGCTGATTAGTAAATACAGATATATATAGTGTGTGTATAGATACTAGTAGGTGTCAGCAAACGATCTTCAAACTGAACAAAAATAGGAAAATGTAAATATCGGAGGATATGTGACATTTGTTCATTCCCACGCGCACTTAATGCTAAATATTGTAGATAGCAAAAACTACGACTACAAGATCTACAGATACACATACATGAATATGAATTCATAATGCTTATCTATCGTACATATGTATGTACGATATAGACATATATATATCATAGAATAGTATAGTATAGTGTCTGGTGGTGTACAAATCGTATAGCTGTGGACTGTGTGTGTGTTCGTTCTGTGGGGGTTTGCACGCGAGTGGCCGAGTTGAGACCAGATCAGATCAAGGCAGGCGGATGCCGCTGATGCTGCTTGTATCACAATTCAAACAAGGATCCAGGAGGGCGAGGAGGGGGAGCAACTTAATTAGGCAACTTAAATAATATTTATACAACTTAGTCGAAAGTGCTACACTAGAAAATAGAACTTGAATTTTGGAATCGATTACGCCACAACGGTAAAAGCGAGTTCCAGTTCGTGATGGATTTGGTCGAGGGGTGATTGGTTGCTTCCTGGTGATTTTGTGGTGATTGATTGGCTAGTGTTCCTGCAGGCTGAGCTTAAGCGCCTGCTCGATCATCTCCTGCTCGCGCTGCCGTTCCAGCTCGTACTTCTTTTGGTCTTGCTGCGAGAGGCGCATTGCCATGGCCAGGTCCGGGTCCACATACCGGAAGCCCCCATCGTCGTCGTCCTCGGAGGCGGGCGAGCCACTGGCATTGGCATGGGCCCCAAGGAGCGACTCCTGCAGCACCCTGTGGACGAAATGGAACACGAAACACACACAAAGCTCGGATAAGATGCGATCTAGCAGTACAGGTGGGGAGACAAGTGAGGGTGTGGGGTGGGAGGACTACTTGAAGATCTTCTTCATGTAGCTGAGGTCGTTCTTGAACTGAGCACCCGCCGATGCAGAGCGGCCGCGGGGCTGCGGCTCGAGGAGTGAATGGGGAGACGGCGAGTGCCGTCCGTAGTGGTGGTGGGGGGAAAGCAGGTGCGAGGAGAAGCGAGGGTGACTAGCATTGGCGTTTTGCATCTGTTAGCATCCTGTAAAGATACAAAAATGTGAACCATAACGTACCGCTGCAGTTGCTCGTCGTCCTCGGGCAACATGTCGGATCCGACAACGCTCTGGCCGCGCAGCACCTCCCAGATGTCCACCTTGTCGTCGGCCTCGGCTCCGCAGGCACCGCTGGTTTCCACGAGACTCTGCTCGATGGCGTACTGCAGCATGTCGTCCTCGTCCAGGGGGATCTGGCGCCGGACGTCGCCGCCCCGGTTTGTGTAGTGACTGGGTATATCGAAACAGCGATCGTCCACCAAGCAGGTGACGCGGTCCTGCTCCTCCAGGGTGGCCACGTACTCCACTGGCGTGGTCATGGCGAAAACGTTGCCGAACGTGATGCATGCGTTGAGGACGTGGAAGAGCGGTATCTCCACCTTGACCGGGAAGCCGGCTGGCAGCTGCATGGTTATAAAGTCTTTCAGTTTTGACACGTGGGGACTGGCCATGGTAGACATGAGGTCCAGAATCGGAAGCACCTGCTCCTGCAGTCGTATCGGATGTTCCTCGGCCAGCCATAGGTTGGCCTTGAAGCGCTGCACCTTTGTGCTCAGATTCTTAGGCTTGCCCACGTCCCGGCCATGCAGGTCGACCTCGTCGCTGAAGTACTCCTCGGGCGTAACCGACGACCTGGGCGTACTTGCGCCCGATGCGCAGCCAGAGCTGCCATTGCTCTGGGGAACGGCTGGTGAGGAGCGCCCACCGCTTTCGCTGCCCGCCAAAAGGGAAGCTGTCTCCCCAGGACGCGGCGAGGGTGTCTGCAGTAACAGGTTGGTTAACCCAGAGCAAGAGTTAGACCATGCACTACAATAGATGGATTCTACTTACGCGCTCTTTGAGTGCAGCGGCTACGTCTGTGGGAGGCACGTAGTCCTCATCGGCAATGCCCAGGAGACTGTGAAGAGGCGTTCTCGCTGTTTTGTTCTGCGGGTGGTTGAAGTTGCAAGAGATTCAATGGAGATTGTACAGGAGAAGTCTTCACCTTGATTTGCTCCTCGCTCAGGTGATCCATGCGCGTCTTTGTGACAAACTCCACATTGCTGGCCCCATACACCTTGCAGTTGTAGCCATTGATGGCCTCAGACTTCTCGCTGCGCCAGCCCCAGATGCCGCACTTGTTGCGCTCGAAACTGATTTTTTCCATCTCGATATTATTGGTGATGACGGGCGCATTAAGGCGGGCACGTACAGTGCCCAGGGCGGGGGGAATGGCCACAATGTCCCCGATATCGCTGCTCATCTGCTCCACCATCACTTCGTTCGTATCGTGGTCGATCTCGATCATCGTGGCAGTCTCTTCTGCGGGGAAAAAGAAAGAGTGAGGTCAGCTTAGGTAGGACTAGTGTTTGGAGTTGAAAGTCGGAGTCTTACTGGCGCCCTTGAAGATGTACGACCGGTTCCCCCTCTGCCAGGTGTTATTGTCGAAGCCCAGCAGGGTAGTGTCTATGCGCACATTGGCCCCCCGCTTGTAAACCTTGTAGGTGTCGCTGGGGCAGAGACGCGACATCAGCGGCACCCATGACGTGAACTCCCACTTCATCTCTATGTAAAAGTCGGGGGCGTCCAGGAGGTGTTGCAGCAGCTTGGGCACGTGCGTCACGCGCTGGACGTGCCGCTGAAGGTCACGCACCTCGATGATGGCAGTCAGTATGTCAACGTCGCCAGTGCACACGGCCTCCTGTACAACTAGGGGAGAGATGTGAGGGAGACTGTTAAATCTTTATCAGCCAGAGGCTATCTGACGGTGCACTTACTTGACCAGCCTTCGTGCTCATAGGTCGCATTGCACTTGGCTGCTAGAAGGCACTTGACACAGGGAAGATTGGCCAATCGCACAGCCAGCATCAGGGGGGTGCGTCCCCGCGGATCGATTTTTTCCTTATCATTCTGAAAGTTGATGAATTGTGCCGTTTATGGTTATTGTTATTTCTCTGCTGGCCGTCGGCTGTCGGGGAACGCGCTAATTCAATTAGCGCGCACACACACCTGTCCGGCTTTGCCTTCAGCCACAATCACAGACCAGCCACAACCACACCCACCTCACCCACAATTTACCTGGTCGATTTGCAGCTCGGCCTGCAGCTGCTCCACGTCGCCGTGCCAGATGTGCCAGTGGAGCGGATACTCCACCTTGATTTCGTCCAAGCTCTTCATTTCGTCCAAGTTTCGGCCCTGCCGTTGCAATTGCAATCGTCACCCGCTCGCCTTTTCTTTTAATTCGCAAATTCTTTTGTTTTACAGGGTTGTGATGTATCGAAATATTCATATATATTTTTTGATATATTTTGAGGAGATATTTTTGCTATCGAAAATACCGATATTTTCTGAAACTTGACGCTGCAAAATCGAACTTATAACTGCATTATGAACCGCATAGTAAATGAACAGTCGAATAAACAAACACATAAATTGTACAAAAAAAGGAATTTTATTCTATTGCTAGTCTAGTACTAGTCTGCAGCTCTGATCAAAGCTGTGACTGATAACGTGACTTCTCATCTCTAGCAGGCATCGATAGTCAACAACAACAGTGACAGCTGTTCGCCTGAAAAACTCCAAATTAAATAAAATTAATTAGTTAATTGCCTAAAACCTGCGGCAAGTTTACCGTAGAACAAGTATAGCAATTGGAACACATCTCAGCTAGTCCTGGAGCGTATGTGGTGAGCACACAAGTCCTTTGATTTTATTATATAAACATGAGTGAAAAGGCAGCGAACATTAAAAGGGTCCTTGAAAGACAAAGTCGAAAGGCCCTTACCCCCCTCAAGGGGGGTAATAGTGACAGCCAATCCTTCCCTGCCACATAAACGGATTCCATTTGGCCCGGCGAAAATGTGGGATTGCAGCTGCTGCAGCTGCAACACAACCACACCCCCAAGCCCATCACGCATACAAAAAAATGAGTTGAAAACAGTTTTCCATTAACTTGCAGGCCACCATGCAGCTGCTGGACTAGAGGGATTACCTAATCAGACGAATGCACCGGACTGATTGCATTTTCTTGGCACTCATTTCCACGGACAGATATAACACGGTGAGTCCGAGTCGGCGTCCGATGCCCACTTATCAGCCACTTGGCGGTAATTGAGGCATTAATTGGCCACAAGTGCATCCCAACTAAATGTGTTATTCATGTTCAATTCAATCTGGTCCACAACTGCCGCTGGGAGGGCAAGCGATAGCGATCAGCTCAAAACGTGTGGGGGGGACTGGCCCACGCTCGTCATTCTCCTCCAGTATCAACAGACGCGCCACCCACAACGTTACGCGACCCATACACGCGAGTGTGAAAAGTCAATTTTAATCAAAAAGAAAGTTCGCAGATCCGTTAGTGCCTCCATCTCCCTTTCTCGATCACTCGATTGACAGTGTACAGACATGCTTGTCGCCTGTGGATATCGCTTGCGCTCTCGGCGGCTGTTTGAATTTAAATTTTTCTGAACTGGCAAATCTCTAACGCTCTCTCTTTCTTCTCTCTCTACTCTCATGTTCACTCGTTGCAGCTATGCTCTTTGCGCGTAGGCGGCATTTCTTCAAGAGGTGAATCCCCATGTGTGTTTGTCCCACTAACCGACCCCCGATTAATTTGCTTTCGTAGTTTACTTGTAGCCGTACGAAATCCGTTTGTGTTCCCTTATGATTTCGACCTGCACTCGCGCGGCACCTATCGTAGTAGTGGCATTAGTCACGCTTGTATTGCGTTGATATCTCGGCCGCTCTGCTCTGACTGTCATTATCAAATTGCCTCACCACTTACTCACTGCCTCATTGACCTCACATGTACATACATCATCGTTTAAATACATCCATTCCCAAAAGCACCACACGTAAATCCCGCGCCGACTCCCACCGCCACTATCACCAGTATCAGATCGGGTACAAAGGTTGGCATTAAGGAATTTTTGGCAAAAGAGTGGGGATCAGTTTGTGCTACGCTCGGGTTCGGTTCGGTTATCGCGGCGCCTTGCATGCTTCTCGCTTTGGAAAAACCCCCTTCCCATTCTCCCAAAAAAACCTCACAAATAACAAACTAATAATCTAGAAATCTGTTTGCTTCTCTCTCCCCACGCGTCAAAATAAATACTCGATAATAATTCAAGTACGCATCCGGTCAGAATCATTCGAATCCGTTGACTCCCGATCGAATCGAACCAAAACCAAACCATATCTTAATTCCCATAAGCATTAGATCGAAAGTGACCAAAACAATGAGTGGGCTTCATAGTACTATAAACACAATTTGCTATGCTACAATCATTCCCGGAACGATCTTCATTAGTTGGCTAATTGGGCTGTAAGTATCATCAAGCTCCTCGCACCGATCTCGAGTCCCCCGGCTCGATTAGTTGTTGTAAACGTATCCCCATTACATTTGTATAAACCTCCTGATTTGTCGTTATTTACTTTTGTCATCGTGTCATCGTGACATTGACATTTCGGGCACCGCCGACTCTGCTCCGCTTCCGTATTCTGTTTCCGCTGGTTCCCACTGTACCACCAACTCCATCTCATCCACATTGCCACCTTTCATCTTCATTTTATGTATCTCGTCTCGTGGTAATATTCCCCCCTTTATAGTCACCATCATTCACCCCCGTCATTCAATCATGAAAGCTAGCTGAGTTAACACGGGAACACACTGACACCTCTTCCTCCACAGGGTGGGCCTGCGCTGCCTGCAAGTATGCCTGCTTTTCTTCATACTGGTATTGGTGGTGCTGCCTCTGGTTTTCCGCTATTCGGTGACGCTCCAGCGAGGAATCCTCTTCCTCACATTCAGTAAGTAGTCCTCCACACCCCAGGAGACAATCATCGACAATCCTAAGCCAATCTTGCATATTGCAGTTACCTACCCAAAGGGCCTCGACCTCACCAATCCCGCCGGCATCGGACTCTACGCGACACGGAACTTCTACATAACCGTCAAGGAAAATGACTCGGACGAGGATGGCGTGCGCATCGGAGTGTGGCACGTGCTCCCGAGGAACGCGGTTCGCCGCTTCAAGAGGGAGCTGCAAGTGGAGGAGGCCTTCGACCAGGACATCGCACCAGATGAGCGCAGGGACGACGACTACGAGCAAGAGCTAAGGCTCATGGCTCCGGCCATTAAGTCCGAGTTCCCCTCGATCGTACCCGAGAACGAGCAGCTTTTCTACGAGCGTCTACTGCGGATGCCCGGCGGGACAGTCGTTATCTACTTGCACGGCAACACGGCCACCCGGGGCAGCGGCCACCGCTCGGAGGTGTACAAGCTGCTGCGAAACCTCAACTACCATGTGTTGTCCTTCGACTACCGCGGGTACGCCGACTCTGATCCCGTCTCGCCCACGGAGGAGGGCGTGGTAAGGGACGCCATGATGGTGTACGAGTACATAGCGAATGTGACCTCCAACCCGGTTATCATCTGGGGTCACTCTCTAGGCACGGGCGTGGCCACGCACATGTGCGCCAGGCTGGCCCATTTGAAGGAGCGGGCGCCGCGCGCCGTCATCCTAGAGAGCCCGTTCACCAACATCCGGGACGAGATCCGGCTGCACCCCTTCTCAAGGATATTCAAGCACCTGCCCTGGTTCGACTTTGCCATCTCGCGACCCATGTACAGCAACCGGCTACGCTTCGAATCGGACATTCACGTGCACGAGTTTCCGCAGCCGATTATGATTATCCACGCCGAGGACGACGTGGTTGTGCCCTTCCACCTGGGCTACCAGCTGTATCGCATCGCTCTAGACAGCCGTAGCCGAGCGTGGGGACCCGTGGAGTTCCACCGCTTTGACCGCAGCAAGCGGTACGGCCACAAGTATCTGTGCCGGGCCCCCGAGCTACCCGGTCTGGTGCAGCATTTCGTGGAGAACTATCGCAAGGCCGTTTACTAGACTCGACCCTCCATTCTATTTATTTTAATTACTATACACAATTTAGTCTTAACTTAGTTTTCTACCGCCACCATGTTCCAAATTCTTCACCTTGTACAAGCAAATTAAACGAGCTATTTGGATAGAAACAAGAATAACTAACTTTAAAGTGTCCGCCATTTATCTAGAGTGAGCAGAGGCACGGGCAAGGGATTTCCCCCAATTGCATCAAATCAAGAGCACTTGAATTTAACTATTTTAATAATAAAGTGATCGCCAAATACTTTCCAATATAGGTCGCTCATTTTATTACCCTACCTTACCTTTAATTAGGAGTGTAATCTACATTTTGTACTCGTTCCCGCTAGATACTTACATTTGATTTGTATGGAAATAACAAATTTCAGCAACATGGGGTAAGAAAACATTCTGCTTATATTTGGAAAGAGGATATTAGAGAATATATGTAGGTAATGATTGTCATCTTTTTAGGATCCAATGTAAAAAAAGAAAAAATTATTCAGTCTCTGTTTCAAAGCCATCTTAACAAAACTTTGCAGTTAATGGTATTCTGACAGAGACCAAGTATAACCAAGAATAAAAGAAATATTAAGGTTTCAAAGCAACTTGAACAACAGAAATTTAACATTAAATAAAGGATATAAAAGGCCAATTCTATACACAATTACGTTTTAGTTTTTGGCCGTTTTTGTTTAAACGTTATTTTACCTACAACTCAAAAAAAAGAAGTCGTTAAATTTAAACAATCTTGTAGAAAACTAATTTATCTATTGGATAAAATTATATGCAAAGTGCTGCGATTCCTAGCTAGCTAGTAATATTAAATCGAATATCAAAATCGGGGAACATGGACACAAAAGCATAGCCCATTGTGGACCTGTGGTTATTTCATTTACTAACGAGTATTGTGGGACATGACAATTTTTACGCATTTCAAGTGAAAGAAATCGTGGTCATATTGCTTGTGAGTAAAAAAAAGGATCTTCAAGATATAATTCTTAATATCATGGTTTAAATCATGGTGTTCAACTGTTTAATTTGTGCTGGATTAAGTGGGTTAACTTCGTTTATTTCCTCGGTATATTTTGAAAATATTAAAGGTATATTTGGGTATATTTTCGAGGGACTGACGGTATATTGTGTCGATGCATTCGCGGTCACATTGTTCCTCGGGCCGCCGCGAAAGAAACAACAATTTTTCCGAATTGAAAATCGAAAAGGCCGCCTTAAATGTAATGCTGTCGCGGAAAAATGTCATTGCAACAATTGAATATCTGTGAGTGTGAGAAGACGAGAAGAGCATGTCGTGTGTGACGGGGGAAAACAAAGGGATGCGTTTGCAGTGAATAATAGAGTTCGATTTTAGTGCTAAACTCCGAGGCGTCGCTCCACAAAAACATCCTCCTCTCGCAAAAAGGCACATACAACCAACGGCAGTGGTGCATTAGTGTGTGTGTATGTGTGTGTTGCTCTCCAGCAGAGTTAGTATTATTAACCAGAATTAAAATTCTCCGTGCTAAAAACATCTAAATATACCCAAAACTAAACTCCATTTCGCGTCCTGCCCAGCCCAGCGTCCTGTAGAAGAGAAGGCAGAAAAAATTTCGTGTCTCTACTCCTTGAAAAGGAGTTTGCTATCGCTGTCGCTGTCGCCGCCGCTGCTGCTTCTCTTTCTCTCTCTTTGTCGTTTTTGTGTGTTTGCTTCTGTGTTCGTGTGAGCTGGAAACCAAAGAAACGTAATTTAATTAAAATTAAACATTTTCTTAATTATTTCTTAGAAACAAGATTCCCTCTGCCAAGCAGAGACGCATTTCTCTTTCTTGTGGGTGGAGAGCGACCGAGCCAGCGAGTTTTAGAGTGAGAGAGGGTGAGACGAAGAGGCAGAGCAGACGCCTCCGTGCACCAATACCAACGCATTTTCGCTGTGGAAACGGAATTAACCAAAATGTTGTGGTAAGTTTTCTTTTTGCAACATTTATTTATAACTCTGCAGCTCTGTTCCTGCTCTCCTCTCCTATCAGCCAATCCACGTCAAAACTCCACTCTACTTTCTGCGCATGTTTTGTTTTACTATTTTTTCCCTTGCTCTTTGCGCCTATGACTTCCGCTTTTTGCTCCGGCGGCGACGGCGGAATCTTCATCTTCCCTTCCTCTTCCCTGCTCCCTTTTCTGTTTCTTCCTCTACTCTTCTTCTTCTTTCCATACTAACACGCCCTTTTTTGCGCACCTCGCCTGCGTCTGTGTTTGGTGTGTGTGAGTGTGGATTGAGTGCAGTTTCTAGCCGAATAATTTATGCCTTTCTCGTGCGTTTCCCCAAGTTAAAGTTTTGCAAATTAGTGAAATTTTTGGTATTCGGTTCGGTTAAGTTTCGGTTACCTCTGCTGGCAGCTTGGTTGCGAACAGCTGTCGTTCTGCTGCCTGCCACAAAACCTGTTTCCCTGTACATTTTGTTTAGTGGGGCCAGAGGAGATGTGATGAGCTTTCATTGTTTCTCAGGTTACTCTTCCTTCTAGCCGCCTACTCTCTCTTTTCCTTTTCAGTGTTGTGCTATTCTTCCTCTTTAAATTGTGTCTAGCTTTACAGAGCATCTGCATTCGCTCTGCGGCTGCTGATTCCCTTTCCTCCACTGTTCTGCCACAAAAACAAACAAAAACCTGCCAATTCAGTTAAGAGAGCAGCAGCAACAGAGAGCGAGAAAGAGAGTATGACAGTGGGTGGGACGGGGGCAGAGAGCGAATGATGCGCAGCATGTGCGGGTGGGGCAGCCTCATTTTCTTCCTCTTTTATGTTTGTTTGAACTTTAATTTATGCCCAGGCCCCAGACCCAGCTTCAGCTCCAAACTGCGGCTTCCTTGTGCCACCGCCGCTGCCACAGCCACAGCCGCTGGTGCTGGTGCATTGACATTTAAATGTTGCAACAGAAACGGTTCCAGCCAAGGCCTGAGCCCATGAAATGGCAGCCAGTTTCCATGACTCATTTCTTCATTTATTTTTTGTTCGCTTTTTGCTGCCAAATGAAGCGGGCCAAAGACCCGCCACTCACACATACATACATACACAAAATCGTGGATATAGAGCCAAAACAAAAACCCGTTCAGAAATAGACGAAAAATCCGAGTTACAATCGAAATGGACAACGGACCCGAACGATGGACGCTACAAAATTTGCATTCGCCATGTCTCTTCTTCGCCTACCATACTGCAGCCTACCTACTTCCCCTCCACCTTCTGGTCGGTTGTCTAGTGGCTGCCTACGCCTGGCGTTTCCGCGGGCCAAACCAGGCACATAATCTGCCACATGGTTGCATGCAACGAGCATTTCGTAATTGTTCCATTAGAACAGGGGAAAACAGAGAGAGAGAGAGAGACCGAAAGAGAGCCAGCCGGCAAATGTCGGTAGCCATTTCATGGGTGTGACGACACAGTTATTTGAACACCGTTAGCCTAGTTCCAGTTCCAGCTGCAGCTCCCCTGCCATCACCTCTCGCTCCCACCAACAGCTGCAATTGGGGACGTCTCAAGATAAGATAAAAAACAAAGCAAAGCGAAACCAAAAACACACATGTCCCTCTCCCACTCCCACCTTCACCCCCTCAGTCGCTTTGTTATTCGTTTTCGTTAATAGCAAACACACAAATTTCTTGCTCCATTTTCATACCATTCCATTTTATCAGCATGTGATATGTATGCCAGAGAGAGAGAGAGACGGTAGATAGGACACTATATCCCCTACATCCTCACCTTCGCTGTTGTTGTTTACATTACGCTTTTGGCAGTTTTACGATGACTACATTTCAGAGAGTGGGGTACGAAGGAATCGGAGTTGGATTCCTAAATTCCAGGTATTTCTCGTTGATGCACCACAAAAAGGCTAAGGGGGAAAAATTCGAAAATCTGAATCATAAACCTGCCCCGTCATTCCGTCAGTGACTAACGTGAGTGTCGCAGCAGACAGCTTTGGCACGTTGTTGCTGCAGAAACAAAAGCGGATGCGAAAGAGAGACAGAGACAGAGAGAGAGAAAGATAGAGGAGAGGTGTAGAGGCTGGTCTTGTCAATGCATTGAACTCTGAACTCGAGATGCTGGCCTGAGAGTCGAGAGCCGCCACCCACCCACATGGATGGATGCCACACAAAAAATCCAATTAACATTTCCGCATTGTGGTTGGCTATCCACTTCCTCCCACGTTGGCAGTCCAACAACAACAACAAACAACAAATCCAAGCCCAGTCCCAATCCATTCCATTCCAATTTCCAACAGCTTTGTTCCCTCCGATTTCAGTGTGATATATGTAGATGCGGGACAATCATGAGGGGAAGGGGAATCTTGAGACATGCACTCTCTCTCGCTCCGTTACCGCTAGCTTCCTTCCTACTTGAGAGCGAGGAAATGGCTCCCCTGCTGATGGCACACTTCTGCGGCCTAATGGTTCCATTCTTGCCCCAACTGCAACAACAACAGCATTGCCATTTTTTGATAAACATTTCTATTAAATATTTGTGGTATGTGCGTCGTCCACTGCATAATTCATGATTCACAGGCCGTCCGGATCGGCAATCGGATGTGAGTGTGGAACGTGTTTCGGTTTACTCATTAGACGCCAGAAGCCCCTTCTCCTGCCATCCATTCTCCTTACTTAACCCCCCCATTCTCCGACTAATTAATATCTTTTCTTTCACTTCTCCGCTTGTTGATTCAATAATTTGTTATTGTTTATCTTTCTGTTTGGTTCCCCTGCTTCTGCATCTGCCTTTGCCTCTGCTGGGTTCTGCCTGAATTGAGGAAATGTTTTGATTTGATTCTATTCGGACTGGAAATTGGCGAAAAGTCTCTGGAAAATGAGTCACATGGAGCGTGGCGTGTGCGAGCAGGTTGGGGGAATAGATAAAACGATGCACCTTATCGCAGATGGAATTTTATCATACCGGTTCTATGAGCAGCGCCGTGTCAAGCGGCAGCGGGAGAGAGGGAAAGATGGGCCAGACAAGTCTCTGCTTGATGATGGATCTACCCTGCAATAGTTTGCAATGGAAAGGGGTATTGGACAGAGCACTCTTCTCCCTGGCCTACTCTAGGGGTACTATTTCTTCGAGCATCTTCCTCCTCAGAGCTAAAAGCAGAAATCGAGCAAAAGCCGCAGCCGACTCAGATTAAGCATGAACATTCAATGATTCTGTTTGTGTGGTTGTGCATGTAGTGT